AAGTGGATGATGATTCTGATAATGATGACATGAAACTACATCAAGGTCCCCAAGACAAAGCCAATAATTACGAAGAAGATGAAGATTGAAGACTAAATCGTTCTTAAATATCTTTTGTATCTTTAACTTTGCCGACTTTCACTATATTAAGGTTTGGAACTTTGGATGTTCAATTTTGGAATGAATATCGACTATGAAGATTGGAGTTTATGAACTACAAACTTGTGGTCATATTTGAGTACCTTATGGATATGTTCTGTCTTTTACTCTGTGGTCGGTACTTGTTAGTTGCTAGTTGTTTAGCTTTAGTTTGACATTACAGCGAAGACAGATTTCTTACAATTGTGAAATGTGACTCAATAATTTCACTGTGTTTTTCAGCATTTAGGAGCAGAAACTTGCATAATACTCGAATAGAATATATACAAATGCATAAATTACATATATGTGTGTTTGGAATGCATATAAGTGTTCCTGGGGCGCCTAGAAACCTGGCCCCACCTAGGGCTTGGACCATAGTTAGCAAATCGCCGATTTATCACTGATTTTTTAAAAAATCGGCGACTTTATTGGAACCATTTAAAATTGAGACTTTTTGAAAAGGTCAACAAAAAATCGCAATGTTTTTCACAAAAACATTTAAAACATGACTTTTTCATAAAACGATTTAAACAAGACCAAAAAATCGCATTTTTTTTACCTGTAATTTTTTTTTTTCTGTTTGAGTTCTCTTCCTTTTCTCTCTCTAAAAATCAGCATCCCAAATCTTGCTCGAGCACAAAGGTACCTTATGCCATCTCTGCACTTCTTGCTTGCTGAAATCATACTTAGAATTGTTTTGCCCTAGTTGCTTCGAAGTTTAAAGGCTCAGGCATAAGCACATTCGACCTGTGTTTCTCCTAAATGTTTGCCTGCTTATATGCCTGCGCTCACTGCACAAACCCCATCCTTTCACAAATAATCATGATTCTATAAAGAAAGGGTGGGGAATTGTTAGGAACTTGCGTTCTATAACTCCTAATTCTAGACCAGTCATGAATCTCTCAACTGCAAAAGCTATTGTGGCAGCTGCTTAAATTTCTTCTCTATGAATAGATTTGCAATGACTGTTAGGGGTGAAGCTGATCAAAGAGCCATGGATTCTTCGATCGCAAAAAGAAGGGCAAGAGATGCTCTTGTAAAATCCCTTAAATTCAGAGCACCCAAACAGAGAACTCGAACCCCCCTTCTCTCTCTGGAAACATCCTTTTGAAATAGAAAACTCGAACCCAAATGTGTATTTAACAAGCCCTGTTTTCAATTACAAAAGGAAAAAGTTTATATAGAGCCGAGGCTCTCAACAATCAAATTAGAGCCCACGTCAAAAATTTCACTAGAAGAGGTTGTTTTGATGCCCAAATATCCTCAAATTGTCATCTCGACATCAAGATGCATGGACATAAGAAAAAAATGGATTTCAAGTTTTGGAAATAGTGCATCTTGTAACGCATTTTTTGACCGTCAATTTTCAAGATTTTCAAGTTTTCATAAATCTACTGGATCCACACTATTTTTAAAGCTTTAAAATTTATAATTAAAGATAAAAGTATATTTTAAGGCTATCACAAAGATTTTCAATATTGAAATCATATTTCTCGACACTATTTGAAGATGCATTGTGCTTAGATTGTTTAGAGCCTCGGCTCTATACAAACCTCACCCATTAAAAAATTGCATATAAACTTTAACCATAGTTATAGAGTAACCATAGTCACCATACCATAGTTAAAGCATTTTAATGAGAAAAAAAAGTTATGTGTATTTTTTTTTGATACCTACAAAGTAGGTGTGATGTTTGTTAAAGTATTTAATGAGAAAATCTATATGGTAAATTTTTATGGATGGATTAGTCATTGATGGCTGACATAATTTTTATTTTTTAGAATTTCAAAATTTCTAATATTTTAAAAATATCCGACTTTTTTATTCCTATTTTTTGAGCCTAGTCTGATATATTGGTGATATCTTTACATGAAGTATTTTTGCCGATCCGTATTTTTAACCTGATTTTTTCATCCAACTTTTTAAAATAAAAACGATTCTTTCCGAATTTATGGTGAGCCGATTTATTGATAGTCCCCAACTTGCTAACTATGGGCCTGGACACACTAGCCCCAACCCTCCACCCCCCTAGTCACTTGGGCACCATCCAGAGTTTTTCCCAACCATGGCTTATAGTAGATCTGGCTTTAAAAAGTCTGGAACTGTCTTTTGCATTTTATTTTTTATGGAGGTTTGCAGCTGCCATTAGTATAGACCATTTTGTGCCACACAAAGGTCGCCACTAAATCATATATTGAAAGATAGCATAAATTGACAAGATATGGTATTTAATTGGAATCATCTCCATCGACAGAAAATAGGGACTATCTAGAATTTAAAATATAAGAAAAATGTGAATTGCTTGGAAACACTAGATTTTTTGTTTTGGTCGCAATATATGTTACCTTTTTTTAGTGTAATAATCAAAAACACCTAAATACATCAACTTTTTAGGTGTGACTGGTGTTCAACAAATAAATCAATAATATGAATTTACAATAACGTCAGAGATAAATCCAAAAAATGAGTTAAATATAAAAATATTTCACTATTTTTAATCGTTACATAGATTTAACAATGATAAATTATAACTATCAATAACCGTCAAATAGCTAAGGCAAAAATTAGGTTTCGATCAAATTCATAAATTTGAAAAAAACAATTATTTCATCACTAACAGAATTTAAAATTTATTGTGATAGATATTAGTGTTAGTCAGACTAAGTGATATGCTGATCCAAAATCTTTATTGAATGGTTCAAAATTGGCTCTCCTGGACCTAGTTTCTTGAGTCATTTGCAACTGGTGATCATTCTGGCTGGAGTTTCTAGTGATTTTGTTATTTGGGACTCTTATCCGATCTCCCTAGGCCTCAAGTTCTGTTGTGAATAGGGAGTCCAATGCTTTCCCCTGTCCTCAATAATCATTAAAAACATAGCCCCTCTCTTGATTTCCACTTTCAAAAATCTAAATAGAATTCCATGAACCAAATAAAATGCTCCTCAATACATCACAATGATACATCCTTCAAAGGCATCTTTCCTATCCTTCATCCCCCGAACTGTGACCTGCAAGATCCAAATCTAAGGTTACCTATGAACATCCCAATGAAATTTCAACCCCTTCAAAATATACAACATAGAACCAAGTGTACTAAAAAATTGACAAGCTCCACCAACAAAATTTGCTCAAGACATTCCTTCATTACTCTTAAGCTCTATAGGCCTCAAGAGCTCTGGATACTTGTGAATAAGAAATCCTTTGGACAAAACAAATTCAACTTTGTCATTTCCACAACTACCTATTATTTTCCAGTAATGGTGTTGCACAATCCATCAAGATTGTTTTGGAAATGATGGGTGAAACGGGGCAATAAAATAAGGGTAATAAAAACTTCTCCTTGAGAACCAAAATAAGAATTTCAATCTCCCAGTTTCTAAGCACGAAGAGATCGCTATCACAAGATAATATTTGCCCCTTACTGATATGAATCAGTGTGCATCTAAGTTTTACCAGGCAAACTTGTCCTCATGATACAAATAAAACCAAGGATGATGTAACTATCTTGCTGATGCAAATGCACAAATATTGGAAGATCTAAAGCACCAAAGTTGCCTCTCTCCTAAAGAGAGAAAGTTAGACAAGTTCTAAAACGGTAGAATACTTTATTTTCAAAAGAAGGAAAAACGAGTCCCTATTTATAGCGAGAGAAAGTGCCTTATCATCTTCATCCAATGTGACTATTCGATGGACATGTAAGATGAAGAGCTTTAACTCTTCGATTTTCGATCACAACTGTTAAAAACGGTTCACCTGTTGCAACAGACATGCAACATGGTAGCCACCAGTCACAAAATTTCGCAGTGTCTCTTTCGGTTCCAAAAAAATAGTTGTCACTCTCAATACGACACGTCTTCACCAGTGGAGCACTAAGTTACGGAACCAAGTTACCAAAGACAGGGGCACAACAATAATGCAACAAGTCTCTAGCAGTGGGTTACAAGGTTACCAGAACCAAATTACCAAAAATGTCCCTTCTCTGACAAGTGGCCTTGCAAATGGCAATAAAAGGTTTGTAAGCCACGAGGGCGACCGGCACATATGCGCGTGCTAAGGGCGTCATGAGTTAATGCCAGCGTGTAAAGTACAAAGTGTGCCTCCAACGCCCTTGCACCCTCGCACTCGCACGTCAGCATGAGTGTGTGGGTCGTACACTTCGCGTGCTCCACATAGGCCTTCTCTCCCCTTGGTTCTTAGAACACAATTGAAGATGTTATATTTCAGCATGACTTTCCTTGGCCATTCTTCAAAGTGGGATAAATAATAAGACTAAAAACACTTTCCAAAGCACTATAGTTCAAAAACGATATCATTTTGAAATAACTCCCAATATTTTCCATATCAAAATACAACAGCCTGCCCTCAACATACAGATCAAGAAACTCCCTTCTCACTAGAAAATGTGAGATCCTTAACTATGTCTGAGTCTTCATAAACTAGGATGGTTGCCCCCAGTTCAGTTACTAAGTATCTTTGGCTAGTTTGCAATTATCTGTCATACCCCATCCTGCAAGGGGTAAAATTCTTCCCTTCACAACCTTTTGGAGATCAAATGAAAACACCATTTCCAGTCTTTTGAAAGCAATGACTTTGTAAGGAAGAAAAGAATAAAAGACACAATTAAGACAAATTGTTTAAGCATTCCACGTGGATGTTTTCATGATAATAGACAGGGAAAACATAGGAAAATGAAGCCACAACATCAGTAATATATAAATTAAGTGAAATATGCCTATATAGATATATTTTTACATATCTATGTTTCTTTTGAAAAAATAAATAATGGTAGTTAACTTGGTGAGAAGAAAAGATCCTCTTCTTCGAAATGCCCATAAGCATGCTTGCAATTAATTACATACCTTATGCTTCTTGTCCTTTTTGCCAGCCATAGCTATAACTTGATTGAGATTACTGGAGCGATATTTGATTGCATTGTCACTGCTTACTTTACCAGGCAACACTCTATTATCTTCAGGCTCATCATCATAATCATCTAAAGTTTCAAATTTGCTGTGGGGTACACAAGAGTTAAAGAACTTAGTAAGTTCAATGCAAAAAGTGAAATCAGGTTTTTAACCAAGCAATTGGAGCAGATAAACAAAAAAAATTTCTTTTTAAGTATAAGATTCTCACCGATTCGTGGGTTTAACAAATTTTTGAACCTTTTCTTTACGGTCAGTGATAAGTGAGCTAAAAACTTCGCTCTGCTTCAATTTTTCTTCGAGCATTTTTCGCACTCTGAGCATTTCCACACTTTCTTTACTCAATGGTTCAATCTGCAATTTTCAGAAATCACATGCCAGATGCAATTCATTTACCTCAAACTGCTCAGCAAACAAAATTTTCCATTGCCGCAATGATAAAGTGATTAACAACTTGAGGCTAAACCTTTTGATTGTCATGCTTCATGGATTTATCATGCTTCTCCTCCAATAAACCCTGTACCATATGTCCATCAAGCCAAAATTAGAACATTTCCTACCCATGTTTGTAAGGTGTCATTTCACAACATTATCACCAAATAGAGAGAGAAAAATATCGTAAAGGAAAAATATCATAAAGGGAAGTATACACAATCCAATGGGTCATCACCATCAAATTTAAGTGATGAATGATAAAGGAGAAAATAGCAGAAACAGTCAGAACAGGACATGAACACTATGATGGGTCCTATTCTTTCTTCATTGCCTTTATTCACTTCATTGAATGGCAAGGACCCCAATGGACTACTGTTCTCAATAGAGGATCGAAGCAAAGGTCGCAATAACAAATTAATACCCTCTCTACCTCATCTGATTCAGCTAATAAGCTTAATGGTGGCTCATTATTTGGTAAAGGAGACTCGATTTCAGCAGCATCACCACTTCTAGCAAGATTGGCTCGAGACTCAATTCCACGCTCCTTATGGGTTTTCTTGATTCTTCGACGAAGTGTCCCCTCAATCTGATTCATCTATAAGTACAGGAACACTTATGAACAAGCCTCACATTAAAAGAAACTGTCATCCATAGTTATTTTCTATAGAGTGTATCACAATATAATGTAGATGTCAGGTAGCAAGTAATCTTTTACTAACACATCATGAAAGGAGACAGATTATTTAAAGAGCAAATGGCACCTTGTCTAACATGGTTTTAATCTCCACAAGGCGAACTATAATTGGATGGTCCCGAATAGAAAGTCCTTCAGATTTGAGAAGTAAATAGAAAACAATTGATTGGCAATAGACCAACAATAAGACCCGCTTGAACTCTAGATGGTTCACTCCTCCAGTTTTGCAATTGTTTTCCTTCACATTTGCAGAACAATAAAACATGGTTAAGGATCGTCTCTTTGAATAATATACATGTCAATTACATGAAACAATATATTAAACTATCAATAGACTATCTATAATGTGCAATTTTAATCATTAAGGTCAATAGTACTTTAAAAAAAATCCTCAATATGTGATCCCATAGGTAAGACTTAAAATACCTTGCATGCCAGACACTCCTTTAAACTTTCAAGTTGATTGAGTGCATCATTCAAATCTGGTAGCAATCCTACTAGCTCTGGTGCAGAACTGTAAAACATATTACGTAAGAGAGAGAGTAATGCAAAGAACCATTTGAAGCATATTGCAACTAACATCAAAGAAACAACTGCCAATCAATATTCACACAAAACCACTCAAAGTGTTGGTCTACCACATCCAATGCACCCACACCTGGTAGTCTACATAAGCAGGAGGTTTGTAGCAAACTACATCCATGCATGCATGCGTACATAATGTCTGTGTACAACGTTCACACGCATCTAGAAAGACAGACTAAACAGATTAATATATGCATCCATGTATATATGTGTGCGTAGTAGAAAGAGAGAGCGAGAGAGAGAGAGAGAGAGAGAGAGAGAGAGAGCTGTATTCGTGGTCGTAGTACAAGC